AAATGCACACGGAGATAATTGTTAGCTGCGGTCCGACACGCCGGGGAGAAAGAGTGTAAACGAATGAGGCTCGCATGCGTCACCGCTACTAGAACTGAGGCAGAATGAGTGACAAGCGATTGCATTGGTAATTGGTAGTGAGTAGATAAGACGATGTGCGTAGAGTATCGTGAGGTGGTGCTATGGTCACATTGCATTCTGCAAGAGTCATTCTAGTAAGTGGCGATTGTGTTGGAAGATGTCAAGAGGAGGTCTCTGTCTGGAGGCGCAGGTCGTCAGCGATGTGTGAGATTGTGCTGTGGGTATGCTTGTGGTGTGTTGGCTTTTCTGTTTGTTTTCCATTTCAGCTCTGTCCGTGTGACCCAGGTTCTCGCAATGGCATCCAAGTCAACGTGCATTGGTCGTGAAGGAAAAAAGGGTTGGATGCTATTTTTGCTGGGGAGTGTCAATGGAGTTGAAGATTGAACGATCAATTCTTGGTTGTTTGCTGAAACCAACTTCCCCAATTTTCGCGGAGGCATCAATACGACAGTCATCGTCTCATCGGTCGCTGTTCAGAAAGAAGAGTAAAATATCGTCAGAAGTAATATAACGATTTATTATTGTAATATTTGTTTACAGACCTTAGTTCGCTTATTCCTTTTATATGTTGGTGTAACAGTACAGAAATATCAAACGGCAGATCGGTGTTTTGGTTTTTTCGTCCGTTATAACTAAGCGTTTCTGAATCTTCAAGAACAGCGTGGACCCGAGCGTAGCGAGAGCTGGGCATTAACGGTTTATGAGACGTGATTGACATACCACAATTCATATATGAGTTCAAGAACGCCTCAACGACATGTGCACAAGGCAAATTGTGTGCGCATTATGTCCAACATGTGCATTTCGCCCCGTTCCTGTTTACAAAGAATATGTGACCACCTTCTGCGTAAACAAATGAGGTAGAAGATATTGAATGGAAGATGAAGGAACGCCTTTGTAAATCTAACACAACTTTCTGGGCAGCAAACGGTGTGAGACTCCGTAAATGAGACTTCAGGGAATTAGGTACCTAGGATAAATCGGAAATTATCTTCGAACTTACATCGTAATTGTAGTATGTAGCAAGCATCCACTGGCTCTGACGTATTTTACGCATGGTTGTGTGGTCGATCCACCTCCATATTTTCTATAGCGTCAGTTCCACAGAATCACCTTTACGTAGATATTTTTCAACTGCCTAAGAGCATTCTCAACTCTGTTGTCAGTATTGTTCCCCATGCTGATGGTGAACCTGTTGCACGATGCAGCCCAATATTTGCGTGTTCTTAGCCAGTGCCTTCTAATGTAAGCTCTAGCCTCAGCGTCTACAATACTTACGAGGTTTAGGTAACGCCAAAACCTTTGACAATATACTCTGATTTGCTAACCTACCTGTCATAACTGCGCGTGTGCGCCATTCGATGCAACCACTTTTTAACAAGCTGATTTGGGAACTGTTTTCCCTATGTCAGTTAATGGGAACGTAACTTACCTTCCTTCTGAATGCCTGGCATACATGGAAAAGACACAAAACAATATTGCAACTAGGGAATTCCTCCTTTAGGGCGTTCATCTGTGCAGTTGCACAGTCGACAGTGAATGTTAATGTTTTCGATGTATCCACCATAAATCTCTTAAACGTTTGCAATATCTCCTTGATATCTGCAAACGTTTCTCTCCCAGTAAGAGCAAACAAAACAGTCCTTCCTCTTCCGAATCCATCAGTCACAACAAACTGATATAAAGGCCATCTGTAACAAATTTGGAAAAGGAATTATACCTTGTTGTACTGAAACTTACCCCATCTTATTCGTTTTGTAAGTACAATCGATTCCAACTACTTCTGGAAACTTATGATACACGTCTATCATGTCGTTACGAGCAAAAATGATTTTAGATACAAAGCCTGCGTTGTCCTGCAAAACTTTAACTGAACCTGTCTGCCTCAGTCGATGAAGCAGCTCTTCCAAACAAAAAATTTCTATTCTACGGCACCAATTAATTTTAATAGGACTTACGTTTATTTATCTTAGCCCGCATGTTTTAAATATCGTTATACAGGAGCGCTTTTCCGAACTTCTTATGTGCTAGATCCATGATTTCATGGACATCAGTATTCCTTTCAATGAACGGTTGGATAATTGCCATTTCTTGTGATGATAACCGACGTCTAGATACATCGGTGGACATAAAACTTGCTGTGCAGGGATGGTTATGCACAGTTTTGTACTTGGTTATCATGTATACGTTGGATTTCCGCTGGACTAGAATTATTGACTGACATGATGTACTTTTGAACCTTAAAATTTTTAAAATTTGCACACGCAGCCAACTTACCCTCTGTTCCTAAAGCCAGCACCTCGAGGAGCACGATGACTTCCAAAAGTGCATTTAAACTTCACAAACTTGTAGTCATCAGCACCGGATGGATCTTTTTTACTTGAATCAACACGATAGGATGTATTGGATTCCTTTCAAAGAAATAAAGAACAACTTAGTTAGTACCTTCATTAATGTGTCTAAAGCTTCCTTAAATTGTGTCCATGTATAAAATATACAACACAACATTATCCTTTGGAATATAGCTGTTACATCACACAATAAAGATGATATATTTCTTGAAGTAGACGCAGTAGGAGTACTTTGCAACATTTAATCGTTTTAACAATTCCTAACGTGCACAACACTATGACTTGAAGTAAATAAACACTAGTATATATTTCAGTGCTTATATACCACTGACCATGACCTTGTCAATTTACTTCATTTATTCTGACGTAGTACGCACAATTCCCACAGATCATTGAAGTGACAACTTAAAATAGTAGATTACTTACTACATACATATTTCTACATGTAATAATTCAGGACACATTAAATTTATAGAAATGGTAGTTGAATTATATTCGCCTAGCAACCAAAATGGCATACATCCTATTTTGAACTAAAAATAAATGCATCAAAATTATTGTTGATTTATATTCACTTTCTGGACATTATCATACATCTCAATATACTTTAAACATCAACAATGCATCCAAATAGCGTGTGATTGTCACACTACACTCACACCAAAAAAATTAACACGCCATTATATTATGGTAAGGTAAGCCAAAAATTTTACTGACTGTAAATTTCCGTGTAAAAATAAAAAGATTGGCGCTTTAATTTATATTTTAGACCAATAAAAAGCCAGCCAGCCAACAGCCAATAAAAAACTGCCTATATCTATTTTCGTGATTGTAGCTATACGATAACCAACCAATATTGAGGCAAGTACAACATTTACAGGTGATTGAAAGCTGTTTTAGAAAAGTCAAAGTGCTAAGGTAAATCATTGAAGCATAATGAAATAAGTAGGTGCAATATATCATTAACAAATGCATTTATATAGGAAATAGAGTGGGAGCACAATTAATCTCTAGGCCGACAACGTTCATTTGTAATGTGCGATGCTACCCATATAGGTTGTCAGCCACGTCTCGCAAACCGTTAATGCCCAGCTCTTGCTACGCTGGGACTCACGCTCTTCCTTGAAGTTTCTCAGAAACGCTTAGTAATAACGGACGAAAAAACCAAAACACCAATTGGCCACTCGAAAATTCTTTATTGTAACACCAACATATAAAAAATAATTCCACTAAGGTCTGTGAACAAATATTACAATAATAAATCACAATATTACTTCTGACGATGTTTCACTCTTCTTTCTGAACAGCGACCGATGAGACGATGACTGTCGTATTGATGCCTCCGCGAGAATTGGGGAAGTTGGTTTTGAGCAAACAACCATGGATTGATCGTTCAATCTTCAACTTCATTGACATAGGTCTTATTATCATGATGTCCACTTGTCAATGGAGTTGAAGATTGAACGATCAATTCTTGGTTGTTTGCTTAAAATCAAATTCCCCAATTTTCGCGGAAGCATCAATACGACAGTCATCGTCTCATCGGTCGCTGTTCAGAAAGAAGAAAGAAACATCGTTAGAAGTAATACAGAGATTTATTATTGTAATATTTGTTTTCAGACCTTAGTTGCTTAGTTCGTTTATTCCTTTTATATGTTGGTGTAACAATACAGAAATATCAAACGGCAGATCGGTGTTTTGGTTTTTGCGTCCGTTATAACTAAGCGTTTCTGAGAAATCTTCTAAGAACAGCGTGGGCCCGAGCGTAGCGAGAGCTGGGCATTAACGGTTTATGAGACTTTGCTGACAGTTTCTGACGATAGAAAATGGTCTGGCGGATTGAAACAGTTGGTGAAAGTTTGGATAGTCGCCGTTCATCTTTCCTGGTGCCGGTCAAGTCCTCTTTGAACAAGCAATATCTGGAACATTTTTGGAATTTGGTCAAGTTCAACAATGCCTGGGTCAAAGAAGGGACAGAGTGTCTTGGATGCAAACAGGAAAGTAAGTCATTGTGACTTGTCTGTTAATTGTAACGATGTGTCTGATGTTAAACATGATATGGTTGATGTTAATGTTTCGCCGTTCAGGGATAATAGGAACATCAAACTCCCTAAATTAGAACCACGGTGTTTTGATGGAAACCCGGCCGATTATTTACAATTTGTAAAGGAGTATGAGATCATGCTGAGTGGTTTTTTATTAAGTGATGAATTGAAGTTAATGTATTTGATGAGATATTGCACTGGAGATGCTGCAAGAGCCATGCAGTGCTGGAAGCTCATGCCCCCTAATGAGGGATACGCTGAGGCTATGAGCATATTACGCCAAAGGTTTGGAAGACCCTCGATGATTGCAGGGAAATTATTCGAGGCTGTTGAGGGTAATGGTGGTCAGTTACAGGATGACTCCCATGCACTCACTGAGTTTTTAGATAATTTGCTAATTTACAAGAATGGAATGATTTTGATGAATCGAATGAGTGACCTCAACTCGAGTTTTATACTAGAAGTAATAGCAAGACGCCTACCTACTCGACTGCAAAGGAAGTGGGTGAAGATAAGCTCCCGTATGGAGGATGAGGGTATCGAGCCAAAGTTTGATGATATCCTGAAACTGGTAAATACTAGTGTCAATCAATCTATGAGCAAGTTCGCCAGTCTATTACATCTCACCCCTAGAATAGAGCAGTCTGAGGGTAAAGTGCAATCATTGATGACGAGTAGACCTCAGAGAGGTGGATGTCGAGAAGACTCCATGATGTCTAGTAATGCATATAGACCTAGTGAGTGTAACAGGTTTCGTAGTACATCCTCAACAGATAAGTTACAAGCTGCAAGACAAACACGGTTTTGTTTTACACGTGTGCAAGAGGTGCATACAGAAGTGAACTGTGAACCTGTGAGCAAGTTCAGTGATAAGCTAAATGTAAACTCCAATCATGACTCCGAATTGTGTGACGATAACGGTGTTGTGAAGAAGTCTGTAGTTGCAACTGGTAAGCCGTTGCTGAATAGAGTGTCACAGAATAGAGTTACTGCTTCAGAGTGGAGTTCTGACTTCAAAAGTTTACAAAGTATAACTAGTCAGAGTGAAGATGTAAAACCTTTAATGATTTTCGAGGAGGAACCAAAATTGTCTACTTCTGTTATTAAAGAGTTTGAAAATGATGAAATTGACGGTAAATTGGATATATGTGATAATGATCATGATAGTGCAGATTTGTCTTTGGTTGATCATGATGAGATGGGGGATATGCCTACTACTGCTAAGTTAAATAAAGTCTCTGTACAACTACAACGTGAAGTAGAAATAAATGCAGATGCAGTTGCAGAAGGCATGCATACTTGTGAGACAGTCAGTGTAATTGATCAGCATGTAGCCCACCTATCATCAGATGATAGTGCTAAACCTGAACTAGTAGTGAAAGACAGCAGTGGTGGTAATCTTGCAGTTGGACAACTATCTGAGAGCCGAAAAAGAACAGCTTCTGATCCACCACTAAGTTCATCACCTTGTGTCATTCAGTAATCATTGGTGTTTTCATCCACAATGAAACAGATGCCCATCAACTCAAGTATCTTCTGCAATGACTATGCTAGTATCAGTTCGTTTGAAAGTATGAATATCAATGGTCAGTTTAGTGAGAATAAGCCAAGTGTAAACGAGAGGGTAATTGTTAAATTGACTTGCACGAATAAAGGCATTTCCAGTTACAATTTACCATTTGAATGTTATTATCTTTGGTGTAAATTACTCTGTATTTATACTTGGTTAATGAGATATGTCGTGTGTTTGTTCGTTATCTATATTCTACGATACAATGACATGGGCGTGTTGCCGTTCAGATTTGAGGATATAGCTGATAGAAGGAAGTTAGCAAATGAACTCTGCGACGATTTTCCAACCTAGGGCGTCAACCTGAGAAGGGTTGTAGGCGTACTGCTGTAAGTCCTACAGTTCTTCAAAGGGTAGCGCATCAATGAGCATTCCAATGCGCTTGGTGTATGATCTTGTACATATGTTCATATTGTATATACTGAATTGATATCATCTGTCATCTAGCTGTTGGTAATTCTGTTTGTGTCCGGACGACTTCCACTTGGATCACCAACCTGAGAAGGAATGTAGGCGTACTGCTGTAAGTCCTACATTTTTCAAGGGTAGTTTGTCAAGGCAGAATCCACCACATTTGATGTGTTGATTGTACATATGTTTGTGTTAAATAGTTGTGTGAGTTCCAATTGATGTAATTGTTGGTTAATCTTGTTTGTGTCTGGACATTCCACAACTTATAATCGTCAACCTGTGAAGGGTTGCAGGCGTACTGTTGTAAGTCCTGCAATTCTTTAAAGGAATTCCATCGAGACATGATCCGCGAGGTTGTTTGTACAATTTGTATGTACGTGTGGTGTGTCATATCAATTGGTGTATTTTGGATTCAGTGTGTTTACTTGTTGTTTTCGTATCTTGTTGTTATTGCGTAATTTTGTTAAAATTTTCGTCGTGATTACTTCTGAAGTTCTTTCTTGTCTTCTACATCCGTGAATGAATTGATTGATGTTAAGGACAGCAGATGGGTCGTATACGCCGGGGAGGCTAGGCTATTGCTGAGAATGAAATGCACACGGAGATAATTGTTAGCTGCGGTCCGACACGCCGGGGAGAAAGAGTGTAAACGACTGAGGCTTGCATGCGTCACCGCTACTAGAACTGAGACAGAATGAGTGACAAGCGATTGCAGTGATAATTGATAGTGAATAGAAAAGAGGATGCTTGAAGAGTATCATGAGGTGCTGCTATGGTCACATTGCATTCTGCAAGAGTCATTCTAGTAAGTGGCGATTGTGTTGGAAGATGTCAAGAGGAGGTCTCTGTCTGGAGGCGCAGGTCGTCAGCGATGTGTGAGATTGTGCTGTGGGTATGCTTGTGGTGTGTTGGCTTTTCTGTTTGTTTTCCATTTCAGCTCTGTCCGTGTGACCCAGGTTCTCGCAATGGCATCCAAGTCAACGTGCATTGGTCGTGAAGGAAAAAAGAGTCGGATCCTTTTTTGCTGGGGAGTGTCAATGGAGTTGAAGATTGAACGATCAATTCTTGGTTGTTCGCTCAAACCAACTTCCCCAATTTTCGCGGAAGCATCAATACGACAGTCATCGTCTCATCGGTCGCTGTTCAGAAAGAAGAGTAAAATATCGTCAGAAGTAATACAGAGATTTATTATTGTAATATTTGTTTCAGAGCTTAGTTTTCTTAGTTCGTTTATTCCTTTTATATAATAATAATAATAATAAATTTATTCTCATGATACAGTACATGAGGGACGCCAGTTTACAGGCATCATCAAATTGTTACAGAAATAGGATCATATTATTCAGTCACAATTTACATTCGGTAGCAAAATATGTTTTCGAGGAATCCGTGTTGTGATGGATTGACAAGTTCATGTTCTAGTAAGTTGTGTGACACTTGGTCTTTAACCACTTTCTCCATTATTCGTGATATTACCGGTGTTATATTAATAGGTCTATAGTTGCATGCACTGGTTTTGGCCCCTGCTTTGTGCTTAAGTAATATGTATGTGGTGTTCCACACTTCCGGATAAGTTCCAGTTTCCAGTGAGAGAGTAAATATTCTAAGTAACAAGACTACCATTTCCGTGCTACCATTTTTGTATATGACAGATGGTATGTCGTCTGTTCCAGTACTGCCGTTTGACTTCAATGTCTTAGTCGCTGAGTCTATATTTTGTATATTAAAATCTATTTCTCCTAATTTGTGGTTACTTTTGCAGTTTAAGAGTTTCATGTATTTGGTTCAACGCATTAAATTCCTTAAATACATGGTATTTCCTTTCTAATTTCTTTAGTTTTAGGCGCGTTTTCCGGTCAATAAATGGAGTTGGTGTCTTTACAGCAGATTTTAGGGGCGCGATTGTGTCTCTTGCTGAGCCAACTGTTTTGTAGAAAATCTCAAGCGATACTTCTAAGTTATTGTTGATGAAGTATTCTTCCCAGTCTGAACTTCTCAACAGATCTGATAGGAATTCCCAATCAGCATTCTTGTAGTCCCTATATTGATAGCGCACCGGGGAATTTTTAGGTGTGTATTTAGTTGTTAGTCGGAGGAGTAGCGTGCAGTACAATATGTTGTGATCACTATTATCGAGTTTATTTCCCACCTCTATCGAGATGGGCTCTATGTTATGACAGAGGATTAAGTCAAGAGTATTTTGGTTCCTTGTAAGGAGGCGTACGCACTGCTTCCATCCTCCTATGCCTATAGCTTGTAGTAGCTCTTCATGGATTCTTGGTGCTGTACAGGTATCCCAGTTTACTCCAGGTAAGTTGAAATCTCCACATACGACTTTTTAGTCGAAGTCCAGAGTGGCTACATGCTCTAGTACTTCTGCAATAGTTATGTCAGTCATTTCAGGGCTATTGGGGGGTCTGTATATACATCCCACTAGAATTTTGCTTCCGTTTGCGTGGATGCTTATCCACTTAGATTCTGGGAGTTTGTCAGTATTTGGGTTATTGAAAGTATTGGAGTTAGTGGATTTAGAGGGATATATTAGGCAACCGCCTCCTCTTTTGTCAACTCTATCGTTCCTGTAAATGTCGTAGTTGTCTATTACTAGCTTTGTGTCAGATATATCAGTAGTAAGCCAGGTTTAAGTCACCGTTATTAGTGTTGACCGTTCTATGTATACCAGGCAGCAAAGAGTTGTTATTTTGTTAAGGAGAGATGCAGCATTCAGGAGCTGTCAGTCATTCACGTCTCATAAACCGTTAAGGTCCGGCTCTCGCTACGCTCGGGCCCACGCTGTTCTTGAAGATTCAGAAACGCTTAGTTATAACGGACGCAAAAACCAAAACACCGATCTGCCGCTTGATATTTCTGTATTGTTACACCAACATATAAAAGGAATAAGCGAACTAAGAAAACTAAGCTCTGAAACAAATATTACAATAATAAATCTCTGTATTACTTCTGACGATATTTTACTCTTCTTTCTGAACAGCGACCGATGAGACGATGACTGTCGTATTGATGCCTCCGCGAAAATTGGGGAAGTTGGCTTGAGCGAACAACCAAGAATTGATCGTTCAATCTTCAACTCCATCGACACTCCCCGGCAAAAAAGGATCCGACTCTTTTTTCCTTCACGACCAATGCACGTTGACTTGGATGCCATTGCGAGAACCTGGGTCACACGGACAGAGCTGAAATGGAAAACAAACAGAAAAGCCAACACACCACAAGCATACCCACAGCACAATCTCACACATCGCTGACGACCTGCGCCTCCAGACAGAGACATCCTCTTGACATCTCTCAACACAATCGCCACTTGCTAGAATGACTCTTGCAGAATGCAACGTGACCATAGCACCAACTCACGATACTCTACGCACATCGTCTTATCTACTCACCACCAATTACCACTGCAATCGCTTGTCACTCATTCTGTCTCAGTTCTAGTAGCGGTGACGCATGCAAGCCTCAGTCGTTTACACTCTTTCTCCCCGGCGTGTCGGACCGCAGCTAACAATTATCTCCGTGTGCATTTCATTCTCAGCAATAGCCTAGCCTCCCCGGCGTATACGACCCATCTGCTGTCCTTAACATCAATCAATTCATTCACGGATGTAGAAGACAAGAAAGAACTTCAGAAGTAATCACGACGAAAATTTTAACAAAATTATGCAATAAAAACAAGGCACGAAAACAACGAGTAAACACAATGAATCCAAAATCACAAATTGCGAAGACACACCACACGTATACACAAACAGTACAAATAACCTCACGGATCATGTCTCGATGGAATTCCTTTAAAGAATTGCAGGACTTACAACAGTACGCCTGCAACCCTTCACAGGTTGACGATTATAAGTTGTGGAATGTCCAGACACAAACAAGATTAACCAACAATTACATCAATTGGAACTCACACAACTATTTAACACAAACATATGTACAATCAACACATCAAATGTGGTGGATTCTGCCTTGACAAACTACCCTTGAAAAAATGTAGGACTTACAGCAGTACGCCTACATTCCTTCTCAGGTTGATGATCCAAGTGGAAGTCGTCCGGACACAAACAGAATTACCAACAGCTAGATGACAGATGATATCAATTCAGTATATACAATATGAACATATGTACAAGATCATACACCAAGCGCATTGGAATGCTCATTGATGCGCTACCCTTTGAAGAATTGTAGGACTTACAGCAGTACGCCTACAACCCTTCTCAGGTTGACACTCTAGGTTGGAAAATCGTCGCAGAGTTCATTTGCTGACTTCCCTCTATCTGCTTTATCCTCAAATCTGAACGGCTACTCGCTCATGTCATTGTATCGTAGAATATAGATGACGAACAAACACACGACATATCTCATCAACCAAGTGTAGAAACAGAGTAATTTACACCAAAGTTAATAGCATTCAATTAGTAACTTGAAACTAGAAATGCCTTTATTCCTACAAGTCAATTTAACAATTACCCTCTCGTTTACAC